CCAGTATGCTTTGCGCGGAGCGCGGTCTCTTTCCCAGGGCAGCCAAATACAAACACGAATACGCTGTTATTCGCTGCAGTCCCGCCGTGCCCAGAACGTAATTTTATATTATACCGGACGCTGTGGAAGGAAAACATTTCCAACACGGTTCCAACCGCACCAAGGCACGATTTTCAACCGGCTGTTTTTGTAAGTTAGAATGGGGAGGGGGGCCGGGGGCGTTTCTAAGTACTTAGACTACGTTTCTAAGTACTTAGACTAAGTTAGAGTAGTTTTTTCGTGTTTATAAATTATGTTGTGGACAGAGTCCGACGGACTGTTGTTGGTTTGTTGTAACCCCAAAACGTACTGCTCCATTGGTTTTGGAACTACTTGTATTTGTTTTGAGTGGCGGACAGACTATATTTTCCGACATAAATTCCCAACTATTTTCCACTGACACAGTTTCTCCAAATTGTTACATAACTGTTTGGCCCTGGGGAACTTTCGGTGGAGAGGCAGCCCCATTCACAGTTTAACCACAACAATTCAGACGAAAAAACCTAACCGTTACTAAACTTAGAGTAAAAGTAGAAACACTCCCCTCCACATTCTAATTATGCGCAAGGCAAAACATGTCATATCATATTCATAACAATGCAACAGACAGCATATAGGATGATACATTTGGGGAAGGTAGGATACCGGTAGTTCACAACAATTTGAGAAGTGAGAAAGAGCAGGGTGGAAATGAATAAGAAAAGCCAAGGAAAGGTGAGACAATCTGTGCACATTAATGAATGAATTACAATGAGCTCTATGCATAAGCAACAAAATGTGGGCTACGAAAAGTGTAAAAAGTTTGGGTCAGCAGAAGCTGCAACTTTAGAATGCAATGGGTAAGATCGCGCCAAACAGTTATGTAACAATTTGGAGAAACTGTGTCAGTGGAAAATAGTTGGGAATTTATGTCGGAAAATATACGTCTGTCCGCCACTCAAAACAAACACAAGTAGTTCCAAAACCAATGGAGCAGTAAGCTTTGGGGTTACAACAAACCAACAACAGTCCGTCGGACTCTGTCCACAACATAATTAATAAACACGAAAAAACTACTCTAACTTAGTCTAAGTACTTAGAAACGCCCCCGGCCCCCCTCCCCATTCTAACTTACAAAAACAGCCGGTTGAAAATCGTGCCTTGGTGCGGTTGGAACCGTGTTGGAAATGTTTTCCTTCCACAGCGTCCGGTATAATATAAAATTACGTTCTGGGCACGGCGGGACTGCAGCGAATAACAGCGTATTCGTGTTTGTATTTGACTGCCCTGGGAAAGAGACCGCGCTCCGCGCAAAGCATACTGGGAAGAGCCAACCATAGTATCCTGGGGACGAGTCGATGAACGATGAAAATTTGAGTGTTGAAGGGTGAAAAAAAGTTTTGAACGATGAAAATTTGAGTTTTGAAGGGTGAAAATTTGAGTTTTGAAGGGTGAAAAAAAGTTTTGAACGATGAAAATTGGGTTTTGAAGGGTGAAAATTTGAGTTTTGAAGGGTGAAAATTGGGTTTTGAAGGGTGAAAATGGGTTTTGAACGGTGAAAACTGACCCGATGAAGCCTTGTTGAAGTTGTACCTTTGGTCTTTCGTACATTTGAACCGTTCCCCGTGCCCTTAAGGCACAGACAGTCGGCCGGCTGATAACAGTCGTACAGACCGCTCAGGTGTACAGGTGGGAACAATGGGTACATCTCCGGGCCTTTAATCTCACGCCGCCAGGTGCGGAGGCTTCAAATTAGTCCTACATTCTGCGGTGCCTTACAACTTGTTAGCCTCTACCGGGCTTCGGGCTGGTTACTAGTATATAAAGCTACATGTACCAGGCTTCGGGCTAGAAAGAGTAGACGTTGGCCAAACAGTACTAGTACTCTTTAGCTAGCCTCTACCAGACTTCGGGAGGCGACTGGAAAGAGTAGAAATCGGTCAAATAGAGAGTACAGTTTGCCGCATGTTATCTCTCTATTTGACCGATTTCTACTATTTCCAGCCGCCTCCCGAAGCCTGGTAGAGGCTGCTCTTTAGCTATTCTCAAAGCGGAGGTTTAGGTTTATATTTTTGCACTGGCTTCTTTTTTTATGCCAGCCAAATGTTAACTGTCTGGTAAATGGATACAGCCTGGCCGATACTGTCATGCAGCCACCGAAAGGTCTGCTTGAAGATTACTCTAGCGGACCAACTCCCAGGCATGTTATCTGTCTATTTGGCCAATTTCTACTCTTTCCGACCGCTTCCTGAAGTCTGGTAGAGGGTAACAAGTCGTGGCGTGAGCTAGGAGAAAGGGCCTTTGTGTGGTTGGGTGGGGTGTAACCGTATTGTTGGGCGGGGAGGTTACACATGTACATAACACTTAAACATGAATGTCATGAATTGCTGGCATCGTTGGAATGTTTTTATTTAATACCTGACAACCCCACAATTTTATCTTCATCTATGCATTGTAGGTCGCGTATAAACAGGGAAACTTTTGTTAATATTTAGAGGCTGTTTTGAAATTGAGCACAGTGTTTTTTATCTCTCAGTTTTGTTTTCAATGCATGAAATGAAATGGTGTTACTGGGTCATGTTGTGCTAGGTGTTAAAAATATGTCTTAGATATGCTAACCTGGTATAACACGTTTTTATATGTTTTAAATATTTCTTAAAACACGTTTTTTAATTTCAACGGTACCAACTACCCCCCCCCCCCAAAAAAAAGAAATCTCGATACAACAAGCACACTATGATTGACTAATCTCCAAGCAGATCCTAGGGTGGCAAAAGACAGTATCAAATTGGTCAGGCTGTATCCATTGGCCAGAGAGGGTCCAATACGCCACTCAACGTATAAGCCTTTTCGCAAAAAAAAATGCCGGCGCGAAATGCATGATGACCCTCACTGGCTAATGCGATGGATACTGCCTGGCCAATTTGATACTGTCTTTTGCCACCCTAGCATCTGCTTGGAGAGTAATGATTGACAGCGATGTCAGACGTGTACCTGAGGCGTTTCCTTGGTAACCAGGACGAGCACGTTGTCTCCACAGCCGGAGGAGAACCACCTCTCCCGAAGGTACCGCGCGAAGTTGTTCGCCACCAGATCCACGTGTTCAGCAGCTCTGTGGGGGGAAACATACATTCAGCATACATACATTCTGTATACATGTACATACATATTGTGGTATCTATCTGCGCATCTATGTATAGCCGGTATATATATATGTGTGTGTGTGTGTGTGTGTGTGTGTGTGTGTGTGTGTGTGTGTGTGTGTGTGTGTGTGTTTTCGAATGAACCCTGGAAGATCAGCCTGTCTGTTAGGCTAATTTCTACAGTTTGCCTCTCTTTAGAAAGCTGTGCTCCTTCATCTAACCAACTTCCCGGTGGTATTTGGCCAATAGTCTCATTCATTCATACTGCCGCTTCTGAAGCCTGGTAGAGACAATAGTACAATCGCCCTTCAGCGTAACACATGCACCAGCTCCAATGATCTTGCTATATCAAATGGACTTGTCCCAATTCTAACAGACGTCGTATAGTAGCTTCAGCTTTGTAATGTTAACTTAAGAACAAACTATTTTGTATATTTATATATACAATATACATTTGTGTGGGAAAAACTCCAAGCGGATGCAAGGGTCATTTCTTTTCATCTACATGTATTTTATACATCTTTCAACCGTCGTATTTTTTAAACAAGGGGATTTGAAAACAATCCTTGGACAAAAGAAATTATTTTGGAAGGGCGACCAAAATAGTCCCATTTCGTGACAGGTACGTTTTAGGCCATTGTTGGGCGGTGAGCACTTTTGGCGCGTCCCATCCGGTAGTGACAATGGCACACAGTCCTCCACATAACATACAATCAACGACTATAACAACATACGGCTATTCGTAAACGCAATTTCCTGTCAAAGTCCTATAAACTGACAATACATCCTTGTGTCGTAACTGTTTTCTTTCAAATAACAGCATTATATATACATTTTCCATTGTACAAAAAAGCGAGAAGAAGTTGATCTCTCTATATCAGCTCAGTGACTAGAACACTTTGTATTAGCCTAGTATAGTACCCTTGTATGTGCCTTGTATGTATGTATGTCTAAGTCAAGTAGTGCATCTTTTGTCTCCACTTTTCTATATATGTTTGTTATGTGTCTGTTACATCTTGACCTGTACCCAGCCCGTCGTGGCATGAATGTACAATAAAGGTATTTCAATTATAGTGGATATGTATGTTGTTCATTCATGCTCTGGTCCAATTGCAAATACGCTAGACTTCTGTGTTCATGATAAGGTTTTAATATGAAAGCGACTCTCTTATCTTGTATGTATGGAGTATGGGTGTATCTATGGGTGTGTTATTGTTATTATAATGTCTGTATTGTGACCACTGATATGACTGTACAGTTGACAAACAGTTTGGGCGGAGAATAGAGAAACGGGAACCAAGACCGACATTCCGTTGTGGCTTGATCCGAGTATTCTCTGTTGAACACGATGGGATCAAACAAACAAATTTAAAGAGCTCGAGCTTCTTAGCAACCTAATGATCACTTTCACAGACTCCGAATTTCTAACCCCGTTTCCGCTCTTTCTTAGGAAACAATCTTTTAAAGGCAAGTTTCAAAACTGGTATAAAATCTAATAACCCTTTAGGAATCGATAAAAATTGAACATTAACTTAATTGGTGAAAGTTCTTATGATGCAATATCAGTTTTATATGTACATGTAAAACTTTGTTCTTTCATGCAATATCATGTCAACTTCTAGCTTTCAAATAAACTGATAATTTACCCAGGACCACATCGTTTTTCTACGTGTCCGACGGGACAGGGTATAATTTGAATGCTCATTTCGTGTCAATTTAAGTTGTAGTCACAAAACAACGTTGTCTTGACTTTTGTCTGGGACTTTCTTGAACTCTGTTGTCGAATTTATCAGAGTTATATAATATGCAGCTGGGTACGTTTTTGATCTGTCTAAAAAGGGAAATATTCAGACGGACAAGGTTTTTAAAGATCCGGACGCTTTGCCCCATGGATAGTCCTTAAATGTACAGCAGTATTCCCACCGTATAATTTGATAATCTCAGGGCGGCGGCCTCACTTTTTCGGCTTCAGGAAATGACGACACAAGGGTGTGATTGACAAACGAAAGAATTCGAAACCTTCTGCAAACATGAATTGAAGGATTTGGCATCGCTGGGAAGTGGGAACGGCAAATTTCTGAGATTTTTACACGACTCGAAAATCTCGTAAAGACTACAATTAGTATTTCATTCAGCTAAAGCTACCACCGCCCCTTCCTCCGATAATACCTTTTAACAGCATATTTTAACGGTATTTTGTGTTGACCACAGAGCAATTCAGGTAAGGTTGCCTGCGAGTCTGATGTCAGAGTGTGTTGTGTATATATGTTTGCGTTTCTAAATAAACCATTCTACTACTACTCGATAAGTCAAATCCGTGTTAGTATAGTGGTGAGTATCCCCGCCTGTCACGCGGGAGACCGGGGTTCGATTCCCCGACACGGAGAGCAAAATTTTATTGCCCTTTAATTTCCACTGTTCCATTTCACCCCATGTATAACATAATGCACAAGAAAAGCAGAATTTTCAGAGGGTTGCAGCCAGTTAAAAGCCCTGCACTCGACGGATATTTAGTCGGTATTTGGATTCATTTTACAACTATAACGTTACATTGTCTACATTTTCGCGGAGAGCAGGGTTTTTCATTGCCCCACTGTCTGGTTTTCCCATTTTCGCCATGTTAAAAAGATTTAAAAGATTCTGAAGAGTTGTCTTTACTCAAAGACCTGAAGCTCCTTGCTTCACTGTAACAAAATGTAAGGACGGGGCACGCTGATAATCATCATAATTCTTGAGAACAGCAACTTCCTGAACGACCTGTTATCAACATTTTTCGCGATCTTTAGAAATCTTGTGAAGACTGTAATTACTTTTTTTAGGCTAAAGCTCCCACTTCCCTTCTCTAGACAAGCCAAAATCCGTGTTAGTATAGTGAGTGGTGAGTAGAAATTCAGTTTTTGTAGGCTGAAAATATTGTGTGTATAAGTTAAATAATACGTAACCACCTGCATAATCAATAGGGATATATTTTTGTGAGCTAATTGTGGATCCCAAGAAAGTCAAAGTAAAACCATCATCATCATCATCGGTCGGCTGCAACGCCGATGCTGCATATCCTATATATATATATATGGACACTATTAGATACCGAGCTAATATTTGTTGACCGAATTACAAGCCAATCCGTGTTAGTATAGTGGTGAGTATCCCCGCCTGTCACGCGGGAGACCGGGGTTCGATTCCCCGACACGGAGAGCAATATTTTTGGTCCAATTCTGCTTCTTTTTTTCCCAAATTACCAACAAATCACAAATGTTATCACAAATCTTATTCCTCCCATAACACAATCATCATTCGCTTACTAAGATCTGATGCCTTTTACAGGAACTCTTTCATGGCTTCTGAAAGACTATGCATTTAGGTTTTTTTCTGTATTATTTGTATGTCCCTAGAGTTTTGTATTATTTTGATGATGTACTGTGCTTTATGTTATTTCTACCTGAAATTAATAAAGAATGAATTAATTACGAGTACCTAGATATCTAAGAAACTTACGCTTAAGAAACTTATTGAAACTGAAACTGGCTTGGAGGGACATGAACTCATCTCTGTGATGTATGACAAACAGTTTTGGCGAGCTAACTTTGTATGCTCCACCTCTATTATGGAGGATGAATGATGATGATGATGATGAGATATCTAACCGAAATCTTGACGAAACTCACCCGTTATAGGACATCTTGTCCATGACGGCGACGGCGACCTTGTACCCGTGGTTACTGGCGTCACATGAGCTGCACAGACAGCGAGTACCGCTGTTCAGTTCCTCTAGTCTACTGTGCACGTCTGAAACTGTTAAAATAAAAGTGGACTGTTAATCAATCAATCAATAAATAAATCAATTGGTGGATGGGTAGATGAACCAATCATATTGACAGATCTCCAAGATCTTAGCCTCTACCAGGCTTCTGAGGCGGATAGAAAGAGTAGAAAATTGACTAAATAGATAAAATGATCAGGGATGCCAGGAGAGTTAGTCCACTGAAGGAGGTACAGTTTGGCGCACTCTGTATTCCTTTAGTAGCGGACTTACTCCCCTGGCGTGTTATCTGTCTATTTGGTCAATTTCTACTCTTTACAGCCGCCTCCCGAAGCCCGATAGAGGCTACCTGGTCCGTGTCCACCCCACTCCAGACATCTGATTCGTAACGCAAACAAAGCCAAACAACTCCTTTGTACAAGCGGTACAGACGATTTGCATACCGCATCACATTGTGATATGTTTCATTACAGACTAGGAATACGGGCGGAAAATCAGAACAATATGCTAGTACATTTTTCTTCACCAATGGCGTGAAGTTTAAAGTATGCTTTAGCACAAAAGCCCTGGTTGTATGTATCTACTAGTATGCCGTGGTATTCAGCTAAAATCAACACACATATTGTCGGTTGGTTTGTTTAAGAGTGTCGAAGTTCTTTACGTATAAACTGAAACGCTATCTTCCCTTCCGATATTTTGTGTTCTTCGCATGAAACTTATATAAACACAGTGACATCGGCCCTATTGTCGGTAAAGCTGATACTAGTATTCGTTACGTACAAACTGGAATTCTATCTTCCCTTCCGATATTTTGTGTTCTTCGCACAAAACTTATTAACACAGTGACATCGGCCCTATTGTCGGTAAAGCTGATACTAGTATTCGTTACGTACAAACTGGAATTCTATCTTCCCTTCCGATATTTTGTGTTTTTCGCGCAAAACGTATAAACACGTAGGTCCTATTGTCGGTAAAGCTGATATACGTTACGTATAAACTGGAATTCTATCTTCCCTTCCGATATTTTGTGTTCTTCGCACAGAACTTATAAAAACACAGTGCCATCGGCCCTATTGTCGGTAAAGCTGACTATGTATACGTTACGTACAAACTGGAATTCTATCTTCCCTTCCGATATTTTGTGTTACTCGCACAAAAGTTATAAACACAGTGATATCGGTCCTATTATGGGTAAAGCTGATATACGTTACCGTATGATACAAACTGGAATTCTATCTTCCCTTCCGACATTTTGTGCTCTACAGTCTACGCACAAAACTTATATAAACACAGTGCCATCGGTCCTATTGTCGGTATAGCTGACATATGTACAAACGTTAGTCAGACATCTGATCTCTACTAACAGAGTCATTACGGAAGCGGCGTTTGTTTGACATTGTTCTAGATATCCGGTATATACTGCCGTGACCTATAGAACACCTGTTACACTTGCTGAACGTGCGAGGGGGGGGGTGCTAGGTGCTAATCTCCAAGCAGATCTTTTGATGGCTGCAATACAGTATCAACTTGGCACGACAGCATTGTTAACATAGCCTCTACCAGGCTTCAGGAGGCGGCTGGAAAGGGTAGAAATTCTCCAAAATAGAGAGATAACATTCCAGGGGAGTTGGTCCACCAGAGTCCATTTTGCTGCACCCGTGGGTCGCAAAAATGTACCCTGTCTGACCAACTAACTCCCCTGGTATACTATTGCCTTTATTTTGGCCAATTTCTACTATCTTTCCAGCGATCCACGGTGCCTGGAAGAGGCTATCGTTGACAGGCCAATACGCCACCCGAAGTACTGGCTGTCGAAAAATAAAGATACCAGTAGAAAAAGAAAGCCCGGTAGAAAAAAACATAAAAACGTTCAAAAAATACTAAAGTAGCCGAAACCAAAACCTCTGCTTGGAGATAAGGTGGAGCTTAGTAGGATATCGTGTCTTTTCTTTTACAGTTTTAGCAACTTTCAAGTGTATCGAACCATTTAAGGGAAGTATATTTTGTTCGTCCAGTTTCACCAGTTTCTTTTGTGACATTTTAGCAACCAAAGCAGTCGGGTGGAGTCTTAAATTGACACCGATTTGTGTCGCATTTAGAAGTAGATCATTTAAAAGTATGGCGGTAGAAATAAACGCCCATGTATGTTTGTTCTGTGTAGGCGTGAGACACAACTGAGTAGGTTAAAAATTGCTGTACAAATATTACATTCTGTAAGACTGTGAGAGAGGCTTTGTCTGTGTAAGGTGCCAGACTGCCGCCCACTACTGACTAGTCCTTATCGAAGTTGTCAGGTGTGGTGGCATGTCTGGGCATGTTCGAGTGGGGTTGAAAGGGGTCAAGCTCCTAACAGTCCTCTAGTCCTCCCACATTGACTGTACCTAGCCTCTACCAGGCCTTTCTACGGGAATACGGATCGTAGAATTCGGCAAAAAAGAGAGTAAAATTGGCCAAGGGAGCCCGGCCGCGGGAGGTAGTTTCTTTCCCTCGGAAGCGGCCAATGAAACCTACAAGGCGGCCAAACTCCCCTGGCAAATATTCTCCTATATATAGCCAGCGTAGTTAGTCTGGTAGAGACTAGACAGAAGCCTCTACCAGTCATACTTCAAAAGCTGTTGGAAAGAATAGAAATTGGCCAAATAGACAGAGATAGATAGCATGTGGAGCGGCGCAAACGACTAGTAGTACTCCTTTTTAAAGTAATAGCGGACCAACTTAACTCCCCTGGCATATTAGATGGTGAGCGGGTCGCAAATTGGAGCTTCTATGGCCCTGGATCTTCTCTGGTATACTATCCCTTTATTTCGGCCAATTTCTACTATTTTTCCAGCGATCCGCGGAGCCTGGTAGAGGCTAGCCTGCGCCTATTGACCCTGCTTTAAAACGCTCGCTACCCGGTGAACTAACAACGGAAAAACTTTCAATCTCCTCTTTTCTTTCAAAAGTTTGTTGTGTCTTCGTTTTGAGCACCTTGGGTGACTTTGAACTTAAGTGCAGGAAGCATGGCTGCTGGTTAAAACGGTACTTAACCAAGGAGTATTTCCCGTACTTCATACCAACACTCAACACTGAAGGGCACCGCGGCGACACGAATCGTAAGGAATTGATTATTTATTATTTATACTACAGTTTCCGTTTGGCTACTATTTGGCTGCTAACGATTTGCTTTGCGTCTAGACTCAAAGAACAGTTCAGAGATACACCTAGTAACAAAATAACATCATGTGGGGTCGTGTGGCGTAGCGGCAGAGTGCTCGACTCGGAACCAAGAGGTCCCGGGTTCGAGTCCTGACATGCCACCGATCTTGTGCCCTTAGGAAAGGCACTTTACACGACTTTCCTCACTTCGCTCCGGTGAAAATGAGTACTAGTATTGTATTGTCCCCTGTGTTGGTGGCGGCATTAATATAAGTTGAAAAAAAACTTGAGTGTGCCGTCACCACTTCTTTTGATGTTGGAATATAAAAAAATCACTTGATCACGACTTCTGTGTCGGGGGGGGGGGCGATGAAGCAGTTTACAACAAGAATTCCGATTTTTAAGCACAGATGAAATTAAAAACTTGCATCAAATGTTCAATAGAGTTGAGGCTACTTGTTTTAAGATCGTGTCAAGGCGAACACTTGAGCAATGCGATACCAAATCACTTCTTATCTTTTGAGCATACCTGAATTACTATAAACACGTTAAACGTTTCTAATAGGGATGTTTACAAAGAGTTTCACCTTCAGAACAAATAACTGTAAACTGCAAACTAAGTGAGGTCTCTCGCGTTCCGATTTGACGTTGCTTTCCTGCTATTCAATTTCTTGACTTTTTTGTTGCGAAACACTCCAGAAAGAAATTTGAGCGGTCGTTCTGACACAGCTTATGTTTTGATTTTGAATGCCCTGCCTATTCCTGTTGCTCACAGGTTACAGTTTCTCTTTCCGGACTCAGACAATAGCTGAAAACACAACTTCCAAACCCTGAGTTTTCATCAGAAAGAGTCAGGAAGTCTTCAGTATGAATTTCGTTCCTGACGGTTGGGAGAACACAGAATGGTGTGACCACACTTCCCCACCCCAGGGACGCACGATCGGATGCCAACTTCCGTACGACTTTTTTTGGTGTGACGTACTTGTCTTGGCAGGGGATCTGTGATAGACTGTCAACATGATCTCTGCCAGACTTTTCTGTCCGATCAAAAACAGGATCTACAACCAGATTGGGCTATGTTTTGCTCTTTCCACATTTTTAGCATCCGCCGCAATGTTTGAATCAATAGAACACAGTTTAGTTTTTGTTTTTAACATATTATGAGCAATAGGACGGTAGGGTTTTCTACGTTGATCATGAACTTCACGGAGACGCTTTTTCTACCAATTATTTTGTAAGTAGTACTGGGTATATCTAGCCTGGATGCCAGACTGTTTCCGGGGCCTGAGCAATAGGGGCAAGGTCTAACTGTAGGAGAGTCTGTTGGCCCTTGAGCCGTAGCCTCTACCAGGCTTCGGGAGGCGGTAGAAAGAGTAGAAATTGGCCAAATAGAGAGATAACATGCCGCGATGAAGTTGGTCCGCTAGAGAGTACATTTCGCCGCACCCTACTCTTTCCAGCCGGCTCCAGACGCCTGGTAGAGGCTACTGGAGCCGAGGAGCTGGCCTGTGTAGGACATAGAAACAGTCTGGAATCCAGGCTAAATATATACTAGTGCCGCAGTTGGCCCCGACCCATTGTAACCCGGGGGCTGATGTAATGTGGCGCGGACAGATGGTTGTGGTATCAGCGGTCCCAGGACGGAACATGTTCGGTCATGTTTCGGACGTTTTTGTGTGGGAAACTATCGTCTGTGTGTGGGCATTCTTGTGTAGGCTCTGTTTTCCGCCGCAGGAAAGAACGGAAAGATAGGCAGACGGGTAGGAAGGTAGGTAGGGTAGGTAGGTGGGTGGCAAGTAATCTCCAAGCAGATGTTAGAGATTACTGGAAACAATGGCAAAGTTGTAAGTCTAACAGTCGATCAAGAGTAGTCTAATTGGGCTAAAGGCAATTTAAGGGTGGAAAAAGAAAAGATATTTTAGCTGGCCGGAGGAAATCTGTCTGATGTTGTGTTTTTTTGCAATTTCTTAGCATATTTTTGGCATTATTTCATACTTAAATCGTTTGAAATAGCCCCCCAAAACAAGGCGAAGCTACCGTAGGTGAGGAGTCTCTATAAGTTGTGGTACCACCAATAAATAGCTAGAACCAGTCTACAAAGCAAAAGTTTTCCATCAGCGACATCGCATTTCTGCCTCACAGATATCAATATGCTATGGGATTTGATTAATTCAACTCACTACATTAAAAATGACTAGAAAATTAGATTTACTTAGTAACTGCACTTCTACTGCCCTGAAATCGTTTTGGGTGCCCTTAAGAGGGATCATGTAGTTCTTTGGGGGTAACAAAACCTTCTAGTTTGGCCAGTAGCTACGATTTAGCCACTAGAAGATCTGTTAAGAGATAAGGTAGGAGGACATTGGACCTCTTGAGCTCGACAAGTCTCAACATGCACTGAAGAAATATTTCTGTCATTCTCGGTCTTCTCTGTATCTGTCACGAATTAAAATCTTAGCCTGGCACCCAGCCTTGTACAGTTTTGATCCCTTGTAGGAAAAGAGTGGCCGTTGCTGCAAGCAGACCAAGGCTGGATACTAGGCTATTAAAACACCATCTACTTCAATAAATTACAGTGGAGTTCTTGTAGTGGTGTTTGTCTTTCTTAAAAAGAAACACTATTCTAAAATATAGTTTTTTCTCTTGTGTGTGTGTATGCTCAGACAGCTAGCCAAACTATTTATACAGTCCTATCACTGTTGACACAATTTTAGTTTTTTCCAGAGCACGGTAACTTTTGTCCTGGCGACAAACTGAAAATTCACGCACTGCCGACAAAGAAAGGCCCTGGTGTTTGCCTGCTAAGTATAGCCCGGGGCCTCTCCCGACCACTCCAGTAGTACAAACATTATGACGCAAGATAAAAGCTCTGCCGAGTTACAGAGGAACACACATTTCTGACAACCAGACCCGTAACTACAGAGGGGACTGTTAAATACAACCGGGCTATAAAAACGGGGCGTTACATTTTCAACCATTACAACACCTGAACAAGTGTTGTTGCCATTTCAACTGATAGCTAAAAGGAATTTAAAAACCGGATAATTTTGGGATTTTAACACACAGGCCTCTCGGTAATAGTTCAAAACATTTTTCACTAAATAGCACGAAAGAATGTTTGAAATATGTTGAGCATGCATATGGGAGTGTGCGAGATAATTGCTCTACGAATACCTTAAGTATGACTGAATATTATTTAACAATAGTGACATTCAATGGGATATGTTATACTAGTTATAGACATAATATCAATAGCGGAAGTGTAAAATCGATCTTATAATCAATTGTTCAACTACTAGTTGTCGGGTTGAAACTTGGAAATCGTTAGGTCAGAAGATAGATCAAATAATTTGTATGGAGAAAAACAGAACTCACCTTGTTCCTCTGATAGAACTTGATCCGGATCACAGATCCAGGACGGAATCCCGTCCAGCCCGCATTCCAGTAGATCCTGCTGTGGATCAGGATAGCTGTATTTCTTCCATTCTTTCCCGTGAGCACACAGAAACACGAGTGAGAAGCTGACCAAAACTTGGCGGATTAGAGCTGTGGGCAACATTTTTGAGTGAGAGAAGAAGTGTTGAGAAGGTACAACGCGTTAAACTATTAGAAGTAAAATGTTTAACTCCCGAGTAGAGTTCGCACGACCCCAATAGCACGTCTTGCCTAAGCGGTGACTAAACACAAAGTGTCGTGCTGCGGTGTGACGTAGGCTGCACACGCCCACGCCTCCGACGGAAGCCCGTAGCAACATCCTTAGCAACACCAATCAGAGCGCCGCGATCGGAAAGGCGCGGCAGGTAATTGTTCGCGCGGGGAAAGGGCACGAAACCCACCGGTAGGGTGAAACTAGCCTGTACCAGGCTTCGGGAGGCGGCTGGAAAGAGTAGAAATCGGCCAAATAGAGAGATAACATGCCAGGGGAGTTGGAGAGTACAGTTTGCCCAAAGTGTCCTCTCCAGCAGCCCAACTCCCCTGGCATGTTATCTCTATTTGGCGGATTCCTACTCTTTTCAGCCGCCTCCCGAAGCCTGGTAGAGGCTAGGTGCACGTGAAACGTAGTATCACTTTCATTGCACTTACATACGCAACACTTTACAGATTTCACAGATTTCATTTTCATGTAAGCTTCCACCAGGCATTCCTATGTAGCTTTATATAGGTGGTAGAATTCGGCAGAAAATGAAAGAATTGGCAGGAAGAGAGCGGAAGCGGGAAAATGTTGCTGAACTCCCATAGTAAATTTTACCCTTTTTTGAGATTTTTGAACCCGCGTTGTTAGTCTGGTGGAGACTAGAAGTTGTCATCATCAGTGATCTAAGTCATATGCCAAATCTTGAACTTAATGTCAGTAAATGCGTATTTTTCGTATTTTCTTCCAAGGGAGCCGCCAATTCTGGACTGCATTCCCTGGCGTGCGATATGAAAAGAAGTTGACGTGGTCGCATGATACTATAATGACAGGAAATTAACCCAGCAGTTCCATTATTAGGACACAGTAGTTTGTACGTCACTGCTTCAAACTGCCAGAAACTTTGGATTATGTTTGCCTTTCAAGTACACACGCATGCCTAGCCTCCGTATCAGGCTTATAGAACTGGGGGTTTGGTGGTCTTCGGCTGTTTTCTGATTAGCCCAGTTCTAAAAAACGGGGGTAATTCAACCAGGCCGGCTATGTTGTCTATATGCAATCAGAAAATAGCACATAAAAGACCCTGAAGACCCCCAAAACCCCAGTTTTTGGCATGCTATGGAGGCTAGTGCCCTTGAATTGAGGATTAACGGATCACCCCCGGTATTTCTGGACCCCAGGGTCTGGTTACAGGTGTTTCCGGCACAGGTAAGCCCAGACAGGTATGTGCACACAAACACGCATACCTGGGCGGCGGCTTCAAACGCAAACAGCGCCGACAGGTCCATATATAGCATGGCTGGCGTGACGTCAGATTCAAACGATCGGCCGCTGCGTGACCCAACAAGTTCTCAGAGCACAAGGATATGAGTGTAAAACCACAGTTATGACAGTAGCAGTGTGCTAGTCTCTACCAGACTAACTACGCTGGCTCCATATATAGGAGAATATTTGTCAGGGGAGTTTGGTCGCCTTGTAGGTTTGACTGGCCGCGCAGTGGGAAAGAAACTACCTCCCCGCGACCGGTCTCCCTTGGCCAATTTTACTCTCTTTTTTTTTTGCCGAATTCCACGATCCGTATTCCCGTAGAAAGGCCTGGTGGAGGCTACAACGAGTTCTCAGAGCACAAGGATGTGAGTGTAAAACCACAGTAGCAATGCGCTGTTTACTTGGTTCAAACAAACAAACGAACAAATATTTCCAAGAATATACAGGAAGGAGAGGGAGGGCGTTTAAGGAAGCTCAAATGGAAAAGTTCAAGTTCAAATGCCCTCTAGTGCGTCATTGTGCGTAGGAACCTCAGCGCGGTGAGAGATGGATGTGGAACGGTTGGAATCGTGCCTTGTTGCGGTTGGAATCGTGCATCGGCGTGGTTGGAATATCGTGCCTTGGAACTACATTTGTACAAAGAGAAATGGGCGTGGAACGAAAGGAAATAGGTGTGGAAGTGGAATGGTAAAAAATCGGTGTGCAACAATGAGAAATTTGTGTGGAACGGTGAAAAATGTGTGTGAACGAAGAGAAATTCGTGTGGAACAGTGAGAACTGAGAAATTCGTGTTAAACGAAGAGAAGTAGTTGTGGAACGAATGAGAAATTTGTGTGGAACTGTGAAAAATAGTAGAAATTGGCCAAAATAAAGGGATAGTACTTATACCAGAGAAGAATTGAATCTTCACTCTGGCCGGATCTTCTCTGGTATTTTCCCTTTATTTTGGCCGTTTTCTACTATTTTTCCAGCGATCTGCGGTGCCTGGTAGAGGTTAGGTGAAAATCGGCGTGGAACGAAGAAAAATTTGTATATAACGGTGGGTGTGGAACGGTAAGAAATGGGTGTAAAACGAAGAGAAATGTCCCGATGAAGCCTTGTCGCAGTTGTCTCTATGGTCTTTCGTAAAAAACGGAACTTCGTGTCGCGTCTTCCTTTAGAAATACGTAAACACCCATGACATCAAGTCAGTCAGTAACAGGGATGTTACTTAGTTCTGTAAATAAACACCACGGCTACTGTGGATTAATCTATTTACAATGGGAAGTTCATGAGTTCCGCCTAAAGTTAATTGGCTGTCACAAAGTAGTGTAGGAGACATGGTCGAAAGAGCGACAAATTGGGTTCAAGTAGCCTCTACCAGGCTTCAGAGGGGACTGAAATTCCGAAAGAGTAGAAATTGACCAAATAGACAGATAACATGCCAGGGCAAATGGGAGATGGTCCGCTGAAGGAGACTTATCTTCGCTCTGTCATTAGGACAATTTCTACTCCAGCCGCCTCTGAAGCCTGTTAGACGCTTGGGTTCAAGTTAGAGTTTTAAATTTGGCGTATTGAATTTTTTAATTGAATTGAATTTCTTTGACAGTAACCCATAATAACATAATACGCACGTACATAAAATTTAAGAATGTCATATACAGTGTACATTTCTAGATTTCTAGAAAATATACAATTAAAAGATATACAAATAAGTGGAATCCCCTGTACATTTCTAGAAAAACTGTGCCGGTTGATGAATACATATTCGTTATGAAGGAAAAAAACAACTTTAATTCATTCTTGTGAACACACCACGGTGAAGGCGACCGATAAAAATAAACAACGTAGTTGTGACTTTATTGAAATTGGAAATGCTTGGAAGTGTTCATTAGGTCGAACACAACAGCTAGATAAACCAAAAAATGTTCTCTTTAAGTCCTTTAAATATTTACTGTTTTGAAAAGTCTTTTGAGTAGTTAGATTATCTAACTCGATCATGCGGTAGCTTTCGGTACTGCATGCAGTAAAATGTACTCTCCAAGCGCAGTGGTTTAGGCTTAGGTTTAGTTTGACGTGTTTTAGGCGTTTTCACTGGGCTTTCCTTCTTGTACTCGTATCTTTTTCTGTCTCGCCTATTTGATACTGTCTTGTCAATTTTTCAGCCATGGGCCAAAAGATCTGCTTGGAGATTAGTATAATGTTTTCTATTTTGTACCTTAACATGAATATAACGTTAGACACTTTCAGTTCATTCTCTGGATATGTTTCTGATTTAGATACGCCAGCATTGATTAATTTTTGCTCGATGTCATTATGGGAACTAGATCTGGAAGTGCCACTCACAGCAGCGACCTCTGACGGCGGTTTGCAATAAGGCAGCAGCTGTTGTTATGGTGTTTGAATTCTTGAATAAAAAAAAGAAACTTAAAAATAAAAAAATTAAAGTAGTACGAATATAATGAAATGGAAACATTTTTAGCACTAAGGCAATGTGTGTGCGTGGGTAAAAAAAATGAAATTGGGGAAGGAAAAAATACTGCTCTCCGTGTCGGGGAATCGAACCCCGGTCTCCCGCGTGACAGGCGGGGATACTCACCACTATACTAACACGGATTGGCATGGAGGGAGGCAATCGTATTAAGGACTTGAAGCAAATCTTGCCTCCAACAACACCATGCATTAGTTATCTTCGTCACTTTTCCTTCATTTGTCTACGTTTTTGTTCACACGTAGGGCATATTTAACGTATGGGAATCATTTTAGACACAGAATCTTCACGAAAAGCGTAAAAAAGGGACGCAAAATATGTTGATTTCCAGCCAACCTGTGTGTGATGACGTCACGGCGCGCGAGACAAATTGATAGCAACTAACCACTATTCCGCTCTTCTACACTAATTTAACCCCACAACATCGTCATGACAAAAATCTCAACTTTAAACGATTAAAATATTTACAGGAATTATTTTTGTGATATTATTTATCTAGATGCATGCCTAAATCTTTGTATATCGTTAATTTTGTGGCTATAGTATCTGAGCGTTTCTGAACGCATCAGCTTGTGGCAGAAATCGTTCGGATCGTCCATGACTGCCAGTGGAAGGGAGGGGAAGTAACTACTGTTTTCCAAGGATTTTCCACCGGAATTTCCACAGGATTTATCTTAGGAACTACCCTGAAATATGGTCAGAGAAACTAGGCACTTGTGGGTCGGGAATTTACCGGATAACGTGCGCGAGGAGCGTATCATCGAACATTTTAAACGGTGAGTACTAGTGTGTGTGGTTGGATAGGTGCTGGGGCAGAGGCGGTTTTGGGGGCGGGTAGTTTCCGAATAGCTTCCGCTCTCCCGATCAAAACACCTTATTATCCACTGCTTACAGTCTCCCATTTGACGGACAGTTCCTCAATTATCCTTCTGTGTGTGCGCTAGAGTGATATATTTCGTCTAAACGTTTTAAATCGACGCGTATTTGGCGCAGAAGTTGCCGTATGCTGGTTCAGAAACATGGCGGGCAGCTCGAAAGGAGCACACGAGATCTCTGTGCCGACGTTACAGTCGCTCTTCCGCGCCGCACAGACACTGTCACCCGTCCGCTAATCTCGCCCACACGGTGTCATTTCACCCCGTGGACACTCCGTGTACACGTTTAGAAAGGTTTAAACCCCTGTGTAAATGCATGGGAGAATTTAGCGAATGAGTACATTTGTGCGCCTTTGTTGTACGTTGTGAAAAATCGCTGGCACGGGCTCGCAGACGAGGGGATACCGGCAAGGGGGGAGGGGGTTGGGTCAGGGTCGGCATTGTTTACACGCGTTTTACAATGCCTTGGGAGATCCGAGAACGCGAGGACAAAAGGGGTGATATTTACGTTGTGGTGAACCCATTTAGGATAGGAAAGTACAACAGAGAGACGTTTTGCGAACATAGTAGAAGCGTAAAAAGCGGAATTACGATTTGGAAAATGACCCAGTCCTATAGTAACAAAGGAAAAAGCAGCTGGACAAAGAATAGCTTCTTGTTTGCAGATCATTTATAACTGATAAAGTACACCAACAGGTGTACTGCAAGATGCATGCCTATCATTTTGTAAAAAAAAAATGTGTTGCCCAGTCCTTTTTGGGGCAAAGCCTTACTCTTCCAATCAGAGGTTTGGGGGTATTTTTAGCGTGTTTTTAGGCTTTTTTTATCAGGGTTTCTCTTTTGCACTGAATTGTTTTTCCCACGGAGAGAAACCCCGACAAAAAAGCCTAAAAACATGCTAAAAATACCCCCAAAACCCAAACCTCTGCTTGGAAAGTAGCAAAGCCTGTTGTTTTTGTGACTCACAGCAGTGGTGATAGCTCAGTCAAGGTTAGATTTGTAATGTGAGACTACAATCTGTGGTCTGGCATGTGTTTTGAAAAGGGAACAAAAATAATTTGGCCTCAGGATTCCAGACCAGTGAGTTTATGCGCAAGATTATTTTGTCTATACTGCTGCCATTATTGTATAACCAAACACAACCCTTTGTTTTTATCATGGCACGATGAGGGCTCGAAATACTCAGTACCACCTGCATATGCAGGTTAGTGCAGGTAAACTTGGAGCTGTGCAGGTATTTCTGACGTCTACCTGTACCTAACCTGCACTGGTCCATGTTCTTGGTCAGTGGTAGTGGGTTTATACATGTACATGTAGGTGTATGTGGATTTTATTTGCTGCATTGACTGTTACATGTGATGTATGAAGTATAAAAGATATATTTAATGGAAATGCCATAGTCTTTCATCAGTTTTTAGTATGATCTGCACTGTCCAAATTCTGATTGGTGCAGGTAAAATTTATGCCAAAAAAAACAGTTACTCAAGCAACTGGATATGATTTTGGAAATGGTCAGACATTTCAGTTGCTTGAGTAACTGTTCTTTTTCACATCTTATTACCTGGATGTCTAACCTTCACCGACATAAAGTAAAATTTGTCTGGTGCAGGTGATTTTCAATCTTACTAGTGCAGCTATGCAGCAAAAACGAAAGTATATTTAACCATGACAGTGGTCCCTGCTTCATGTGAAATTTCTTCTGTGTAATTCTGTGATGTGGACATAAACAGGCCTAAACTGGAGGTTATCCAAGGTGATGTGTCGTCAACAATCAGCTCAACAAAAGCAGGGGGCCTGTTTGGAAGCCAGCGTATTGTCTGGTGTTTTTATGTAGAAATGACCCCTAGGGAAGGACACCAACTGGTTCTACATGAATAAATGATTGGTTTAGACTGTAGGGGTGTGAATATTAGGGGGTGAACCATTAATTATACTTACTGGGTTGCTATAGTTATTGTTAGTTTGATTTGTTTGTTTATGCAGTTGCTGTCAAAGAGTTTCAAACTTTCCTTCTTTTTTTCTCAAGGTGGCTTGATAGTGGATGATCTTTGCCAGACAGAGTTCCAGATCTATGAGTTATCTTTAAATGGGTGCTCTGAAATTGGTCACTTTTTGTGATGGTAGTTTTCTTTCAAAGTGACCTGCCAACAGTAAAGCTGAATTGTAGAGATGTAATATTTTAAAGAGATTGTTGATGGAACTTGCTGGAATGCCCTGACTGCCTTATATGTTGGAAGGCATGGGAGCTCCCCAGTCTATGTTGAAGTTTTCTTTTGTGTATAAATAGTTAGACACACAAAATCTGTAAGGATGAGTCCTTTGTTACATGGCGATCCTGCCCAAATCTTGTGTTTAATTGAGATTGTAGTTGTCTTAGTGTAACATCTGTGTCAAAAATCATTCGCCAGTGTTTTGCAGGATAGCTCTATATCTTCTGGAAGAGACACCAATAATTTCTTTGTGTCAGATCTATATTGTAACGTTATAGAAGAAGTATTTATTATTTATATTCAGCAATAGCTATCGGTGGACAATTGTTGTCCCTGCTTCCTAGATTGTTGTCAGTTTTGACTGTATTTTTTCCGGGTTTTATATAGTCACGTCCCTTGTCAGCCAGTGGAACTGGTTTGTATTTCAAGTCAAGAATGTTAGCTCAGAGGTCAGCCAGTCAGTCCATGGTCAGTCACATGTTGTTTATCAGGTCCCAGCCTTACCACCACCAGTAGGTGTTGTTACTGCACCATCCCCCAATCATGCACATGTGTTGTTTGTCAGGCTGTGGTTTCTCCCTCCCTGTAATCACTAGTGTACAGTCCCTGTACTATTTGTCATGTAAAGCGAGGCTGGCATTCAGACAGACCCCAGGGACATAAATAGAGAAGTTGTTTTCTACTGGTGAAGCATGTAGTATGTACACCACTGTTTGGAAGTGCTGCATTTGCATAAGAAGGTATTTCAGTGGGGTATTTTGGGAGGGGGTATTTTTCAAGAGGATGGTGGCAAGCTGACCTAGCCATCTCAGACCAATTTGAGTTGAAGGCTGAACACCATTCAGTGAAGCATATTTTTTAAAGATAAGGCTCTACCAGACAAGTTTTACCTGCACCATTCAGAATGTAGGAAGTGTGGATCACACTAGAAACTGTTCTGTGTTCAGAAACCATTGCTATTTCTTTTATACTTCATACAGGCATGGGGCTTGATATAATGTCATTGATACAGGGTAGCAGTGAAATTATGCAGCACATACAGTCACACACATAAACACAGTGCATGGACCAGTGCAGATAGACACCAGAAATACCTGCCTGGGCAGCCCCAATTTTACCTGCACTAACTATTATAGTAAGGTCCTGTGTCCTTCAACACTCCAAAACAACAAGCTAAAGTTTCCCCATTCATCTATTGTCTTTCTTGCCTACTGATTTGCATACAAAGCTTTGCACATGATAATCTCTGTGTTTATTTTACCAGGTACTTGCCAACCCATTATCATTATCCATGGTGTTGTTTTCGCAAGGCTGTTCCAAATGGCTGGTTTGCACATGATTGTCTGATTATGTAATACAATCTGGGAGGAAGAAGGGAGAGGGGATAGGTCCGCAGTACAGGCCACATGTTTGCCACCCTAACCTCAGGCAAACTGTGGAGTTGGGCATCTGTTGTTGTCCTGGGAAGGTTTTTTGTTTACAGAGAAAAAGTTGGAGCTTGGAGCCACGTCTCTAGTTCTTGGCACGCACATTTTGACCTCTGCACCGGCTCTCACAGGTCATTCCAACCAGTCTGATCTGGTTCTGTCTGCAGCGTTCTTTTTATGGGCAGTAGATGATCTAGATGCTTCTCAACTGAGACCAAACTCACTGAATCAGCTTTTAGTCTCTTATGTGGCAGACTGTTGTTATTGTATGACTGTTTAACCATAGCTGATTTCGTAGGGTTGATGCCAATTGGGATTTTTACCATAGTCAAAATTGACCGACAGGTGCCTTGTATATGATATGATATGGTCCACTGGACTACAATGTCCTTTTTATGGGTAGTAGTACCGTACTATGTCTTGGTTGATATTACATGTACAAAAATGTGTGTTCAGAAATCTTACTCTTACACTTTCACTGGTCTCCCCAGAAATTCTTAGGGGAGAGGTGCTCCCTAATCGGTTGATGAAAAATTTTCATGAAAATACTAAGAGAAAACCCTGTATTTGAACATTTTGGAAGAGGTGCTAGGATTTTGGGGGAGAAGGAGAGCACCCTAAGGCCTTGCTTCATTGCTTGAGGAGAGCCTGTCTTTCCCCAAACAAGGGGACCATCACAAGTGGTATCTGTTGACTTTTCTGTGCTGATAGAATAGTGATAGGCTGTCTGTCAGATGGTCTCCTGTTTGTTTTCCACAGTTGGCCCATACCACAGCCCCTGTGCTCTCTGCTTGCTCTGCCCAAAAATAGAAGCCGGGGTTGGTTTGCCAGGGAGGGTGCACAATAGCTGCTGACAAGTCTGGTAGCAGGCACACAGTCATGGCAGAATTGACATTTGAGTACTCTCCAAGCAGAGGTTTGGGTTAGGGGTTATTTTTGGCGTGTTTTTAGGCTTTTTAATCGGGGGTTCTCTTTTGCACTGTCTGGAATTTTTTCACCATCC